AATGGGTAATGCAAAAATAAAATTTGTATTGTACACACGACTGTAACACGAGTGTCGATGCTAGTCGAGCCGAGAATTATTAATTTCGGGGAACCAAGAGAGCGTGTGACGGTAACGAGTACGTGTAGCGTACGCCAAAAAATATATATATAAATATATATATATATATATATAAAGCGTTTATACTTGTAAGAACATTGTAAATAGGCAATTGCAGGCTGTAAGTTTTTTCGTAGGATTTCCTCCCGGCGTGGAAACCTGTTGGCTCGGTTCGGAGAAATTTCCTTTTAAACGATTTAAGGGATGTTGTTCATTTTTAAATGTTTTCTTGTAGTTTCGATAGTTTATTCCGAGGTGTTGTTGTTCCGTTGTTTGAGAGAGAGAAAGAGAGAATGATTAGAAGCGATTTTAAGATTAAGAATTAAGTAGGAAATTTAGTGGATTTTGATTTTCGTGTACGAATTGGCGAATTTTGATTGATCGGTACGCGGAAGAAAGGATTCGAGATTCGAAGAAAATTGAAAGATGCGGATAGTAAAATTTGAATAACTTAGATAGCGAAATTGTTTAATTAATTAAGCGAGGAGAAGCGAATACTTGGTTCCGTTTGAATGTTCGATGGAACGTGGATAACGGATTATGAATGATTAATCATCGGATAGAAGCGCGATGATTAAGAGCGACTGATCGACATATCAGTGTAATAATCATTGTACGATTATAATTTATAAAGGAATAAATTTATCCGATCCGAATGCCGAAGTTTTCCACGCTGAGAAAAAAAAAAAAAGAAAAAGAAAAAAGAAAAAAAAGAAAGGAAATCGACCAATGTCTGTCGAGTATGATTGTTGTTTTTTATATCGACTGTCGTTCAAAAAAATTCTATTGTATACTATACTTGCCCTTGTTGTGTTTTATTACCATTCGATATTTTATCTCGTGCTTCTCGATCGAACGATAGATCGCATATTTGTGTAATAATTAAACACGGCTAAACCGAGTAGCGAACGATTAAGAAAAAGAAATGAGGAGAATTTTGTGAGAGATGATCGAGCGCGGAATTGTGTATAACGATTGTGAAAAAAATAAAGAAAGAGAGAGAGAGA